GTATATATTATTGTTTTTTTTTTTAAATTGGGCGAAAATTTTAATTTCAATAAAAGAACATTTCTTCCAAATTAACAACAACATTTTATATGAAAAAATTGTCCTAAAGCACATATTTACAAATCTAGAAAATCAAATAAAAATTTATTTATTTATATTAAATAATTAAATCGTGAAAAATATGAAATTGTGTAAATATTTGAGTGCAATGCTTTCTACATTCAAAATCAGTGAAATTTTTAAAGTGCTAGACGCGAATTTAAATTCAAAAAAATTCATATTTGCTCATTTTTTATACGAATTAAACAAAATAGATAGTTAGAAGGGAAGGAAAAATGGAAAACTTTAGTTAACCAGTACCAAAAAAAAGTTAAATCAATATGTGAAAAAAATAATTAAAGTGTATTGTACATTCAAACACTCTTTTCAATAATAAGGAGAATAGTCAGTTTTTCCTTATTGAGGCAGTCCACGAAGTTTTTCTGTATGTTTTTGGAAAAAAACAAGTTACATACCACCACTACTGTAGAGTTACTGTGATTTGTTGCGGAAGCATGATTTTCAGTGCATTTTCGGCCGGTGTATTTTTTCCTATAGATAGTGATTTACAGAGACCAATGAAACTAATCATTATTTGAAGAGCTTGCAGTAAACTAGTTAACTTTTGACAGTAGAGCTCAATATTAGCCGTTTGGCCACGGCAGTTCATATGGAGCAATGCTCTTTCTATCTCACCAAATACTCAGCATCAACTTGTTTACCGACAATTCAGGTTTTGGTCCACAAAAGATCTTTGATAATGACTTCCTTCGTTAGTTATAAATCATCTCAGAAATGATTATATTTTGTTGCGTTTCAGAAAATTTTTACTGCTGGAAATTAGGTGAATCAATGTTCTTTGGCATTAATTTATTTGCACCTAAAGATCTGGATTCTTTGAGTAGCTACCTTTCTTGAAATGATTTAAAGCTATTACGTGGGTCAAGCCCTCAATGATTTACCTATCTCTTGACAGCTTATATGCTGGTGTTTTTCTACCACGGTTTGTAAGTGACAGATTGATTAAAACGAGCCGAATCTTTGATAACATAACTTATAGTATGGCATCGAGCAAAACAGTCGTGAGTTTGAGCTTACCTCACTATATTTTTACACATAAATTTTACGTTTTTGCAGCACTTGTACCTTTTTAGTAGCATAACAGCATTACAAAAAGTATTCCTATCGAAACTTCACTTTTTTCAAATCAAAATTAATATTTTACAAAACTGTATTCAAATGAAATATTGCTTGAAATTATAGCTTTCTGATACAATCGGACACCTAACTTTTGCATTAATTAAACAAAAATGATTAAATGTTTTTTTTTTATTATTTTGAATTGGATCTTAATAAGCTATAAACTCCAAATAGAAAAAATAATTATAAATAATTATAGCAAAAATTTTTCGAAATCATTTTTGTTCGCCATCGGCAAAGAATTTCAAAACATCCTAGTATATTTCTAAATTATAAAAATTAAAAAAAATTCCACAACCATCCAGAAGCAACGTAAAAATACAAGTTTTTCGGCTTTGCTAAAAAAATATTCAAAAATCGTTGAAACAACAACAAGCCGTGCATTAAATAATAAATTGAATATTAAAATTGTTTAAATGCATATCTCCATCGTCTGTGCTCTAGACTGCATATGTTTCTTATGTCTTGTGATTGTCAAACATATATTTAAATAAATATTAAAAATAAATTGGCTTTAAAATATGAAAAGAATGCTAAAAATTTAAATAACAATTATTTGCAAAAAAAAATTATTGGAAACAAATTTCCGATATTATTTGTAGCTAAAGCTGGTACACAAAAAGCGAGATTTTTCTGCTTTTTTATTCACCGCAAATTCCGTGAAGAACCGGATAATCATAGATAGCAGAACTAACAGTTCAATTCAAGTTTTGTAGAGCATAAAATTGTTTTATGCCTCAAAATCGGCCAACTCCGCAGCGATTACCACTTTATTTCAGGAAAATCTAGGAAAATGTATTACCAGGGAGTAATTTATTTTACCTTTGAAGAGAGCCAGTTGTAATGAGGAGTTTTTTCTGGTAAATACGGTGAATGTGGAGGTAATTCGAAGCCTGTCTCATGTATACTTTAATGACCGTGTCCCACAGTGTGTTGGTTTGATGGAAAAAATTCTTTGTCATCGGCGGTCGTTAGCTTGCAATTTCGGTCTTAAATACTTCAGCAATGCTATATGGTATACTCGGTTAATAAAGTGTAAACCAAAAAGAATGCGAATTATTTTGGTTTTCAATTTTTGTTTATGGAAAAACATTTCAAACAAATGGTCTCCACAGCTTTCCATACACATACTCACTCGTTTGTTGAAATTTCCCATGACTTTTTGGCATAGATGTGCCGGAATTCCATTGATGCAGCATTTGGTATAGTTTTGTTTCTTAAGCCCCATAAAAGAAAATCGAATGGTTTTAAATCGCATAATCTAGGTGCTAATTCTGATCATTAAAACGAGAGAGCACACAACCACAAAATATCCCATGCAGTGTTTGACGTACCATATCAAAATCATCCAATTTTGGCAAAAGAACTAGAGTATTATGTCGTAATATCAGGCACCAATAATGATCACTGCTTGAGAAGCCTAATTTTGACCACACTAAACAGTAACACGATGTGAGTATATTGGTTGCTAAAAACAACAAAAGCGGCATGTTTCGGGTTCACCAAACCCATCAAAGGTGCAAATGTTTGATTTTGCTCAAAAACTCAGCAATTATTTGTTGATGCTTAATTACTTCAAACGACAAACTCTCTTCTCTTTACATGATCATTAGGCTTCAGTTGTTGTTTGGCTCAAACGAATTCTGCCTCCCATGGTGGATCTATATTTCGTTCATTGTTCCACGGAGTTACGTTCAAAAATAACCAAATTTTTTTGGCATCTTCAACATTTTCTTTTTTAGGGTTGACAGCGATATTTAAATAATATCAAGTGAACACCTTTATTTGATATATCAGTTAAGTTAAACAGACTTCACTTTTCGGCCATTCAAAAAGAATTTAAGAATTTTTTGATGTTTTTTCTTGCTTGCGTCTAATTTGGATTGCTCTCTTGGTTGTTTGTTTCTTATTTTTTCTATTTGGGTCAAGAGTTCTTGTTGTAATTCAACTATGCATTAGGAATTGTACTTTTCAGCTCATGCTTTTAGGGAAATTATTACCCAATTAAAATATTTTTTTAATATTAAAGTGTTGCTAAACAGAAAACGAGTATCCAAAAAGTCATAAATTAATGTAACATAAGAAAAATTTTAAAATAAAAATTGAAAACATCGACCCAAATGTAAAACTTAAAATGAATTAGGGATGAACTGTGACCAATTTTTATAAGTAATTAAAAGTGAAGTAGGCAGCAAAAGGAGAATTGTGTTTGACAGGGCAGTTGCGAAAGTTAAAAAGTAAACAATAGAAAGAAAAAATATTAATTAAAAAGGAATATAAGCAAAAATACAAATTACAAAGCAATAATAAAAAAAAATTAAAAATATAAATAATATCAAAGAAAGGGTAAAAGTAAAAATATAAATAGAAATATATATGAAATAAAAAAAAAATGAAACTAAAACAAAATAAAATTAGATGAAAAATAAAAAAAAAATAAATTAAAAGTTAAAATAAAAATGAACAAAGAAAGAATAGAAATAAAAAGAAAATAAAAATTAAAACTTAAGTACTAATAAAATAAAAAAGTGGAAATAAAAATATAATAAATATAAAAATTAAATACCAAATTAAAACTAAAATAAAAAGCAAAAGTAAGAATAAAATTAAAAATAAAGTTAAAAATAAAAATTAAAAGTAAAAATAAAAAGAAAAAATAAAAATAAAAATAAAAATAAAAAATAAAAAGATAAGAACAAAACATTTAATTAGAAATATAAAAAAGGAAAAATTAAAAATTATAAATTTAAGTAAAATTGCAAATAACAAAAATAAAATAATAAATAAAAACAAATAGAACTTAAAATAAAATTAAAATTAAAATAAAAAACAAATGGAAGTTAAAACCTAAAAAACTACTAGAAACAAACAAAATATGATAAAAAGAATTAACTTAAAAGTCTTCTGTAATATATTTTGTCATAGTTTGTATAAAAAAAATTGCTTTCAACCAAAACTATTATAATTAGTGCAGAGTTAAACCGTTGACCTACAAATAATAAAGGCAACCTTACGCGTGCAATCATAAAAAATACCGCAAACACGACAAAGGCGTGGAGCAGCGCACAAAAAAAAAACATCCAAACACTCGCAGCTGCGAACGACAAAACAAATAGTAATTAAATGCAAATGAAGCAGGAAAAAATAAAATAAAGTGGAACTGTGAACTGCGGTATTTGATAAAAATCTGAAACATAAGCAGCCTAAGCGCAAAAAATTAATCAAAAAGAAAAAAAACAAAAACAAAAACAGATAAACAGAGGGTAAAACAAAATAATTGCACTTTTTGCGCACCAATACGCCGTTGGCCCGGGCGTATACGCAACTACAAGTATTTGCGCCTGGGTGGCGAATGACTAAGGAAACTTCAAAAAAAAAAAAAAAAAATTAAATAAAAAAACAAACCTCAATTAACATTATAAGCAAAAGCTTGACTGCGTATAGTTATTTCACTGACTTTTGCTGTTGTTATTGTTAAATTACATTTTGTTATTGTACGCTAAAAGCCTTTTGACTTGTTGGCGCACGCACATTTTAGTGAACAGAAAGTAGCACAAAAAACGAAAAGGCCAACTGCCAATCAAAAGAGGCTAAAGTTGCGCGTATTTTCGTGTCTGTCACGAAAATCAAGCGTTTAGTTGTTTTTTAGTTTGACTAAAGTTTGCCATTTCGATTTATGCATATTTTTTCATGAATATTTTTTTCTATTTTCCCTTTTAATTATCTTGCAACACAACGATACGCTTTTCTCTCATTTAAAGCATAAAGCGTAACGCACGCCATGAAGGCTTGAAAATAAATAAATAAGAAAATATGTGTGTGTGTTTGTGCTGTGGCATGAAGTAAGCATAATAGCGGCAAAAATAATAAAATAAAATAAAGAATAATAATAATAATAAATAGTTTGTCGTTACGCACGCACTTAGCAACTTCAGTAACAAACATGATAGCAAAAATAAAAAAATGTAGCAACAAGAACAGTAAAAATTGTATAAAACAAAAAGGATTCATCAAAGCATGCGATTGTAATATAGCAAAAGATTTCCAACTAGCCAGTCAATCAACTTAACTGTAAAGTTAAGAAACGGCAAACACTATTAGTAGTTGAGCAAAACCGGCGAGCACATCCAGCGGTGTATTTCTAACGGCCGATACCAGCGCAAGAGCTACCACAAACCAATCAGTTATCCTGCCATTAAAGTAAATAACGTGCAACACACATACACAGTTAGCCACAACAAAATTAGCACAACCACTACTACAACAACTACAACTACAACTATACAACTTACTAATGCAACAAAAGATTGCGCAAATATTTCTTGCACTTGCACTGTGGCTCATTTGAAGAGGAAGAATGAAGGAGATTGCAAAATTAAAAAAATATTTATATCCTTCCTGTGATGAAGTGAAGCGCTTGCTGCATAATAGAAAACCAATATTACACATATGAAAATATGCTAATAAATACATACACACATACAAAGTCATTGCAAATATAATCAAGTAGACAACTTGATTGAGCAAATCGACGACGAAGAGACGTAAGGATTAAACTTAAATTGACAACGTAATAGTAGCAGCAAAATAAAACAACAACAACACTACGTAAACGAAATACCAACAAGACTTAAACAACAGTAAATCAGCAGCGAAGCTAACGTGTACAACCGGCTTAAAAACAAAAGAACACAAGTAGCAACACCAGGCAAAGGCTGCAGATAAAAGGGGAGTGAGGTTAATATAGAAATTCATAATAAAAGTTATATAAAAATACAACGCCTACGACCGTCAGCAGTAATAATAACAACAACGACTACAAATACCAATCACAACACTCATCCATCATCAGCAGCTGAGCGTACGTGTAAGCGCCCGCCTGTGCATGTCTGCCTGTGTGCTTGTGCATGTGTGTATGTGTGTGCATAATATGCTGTAGATTATAATATTCTCCAACCTCTCCATCAGCATACACTCACAGCCACAGCCTCAATCATAGCTCATAGTCACAGCCACAGCCCGGCATTGTCGTTGTGTCGTTCTCGTACTCGTTGTCGCTGTGGTTGGTCGTCGTTGTCATCCATAGCTTTAACTTTATTAACCCACAAACAATTGCCATAACATAACATAACATTCGAGCGCACGAGGCAATAGCATCCATCGGCCTCCCGTTATTGGTTTTATATTGGTAAATATAGCGTCGTAATTCTTCGCTGTCATCAATATGGCACTTAGCAGTAGCAGAGGAGTTTGCGGCGGCGGCGGCAGCAGCAGTAGTAGTAGGCATGCTGTCAGCAGTAGAGGCTGTGGGAGAAGCATATCAACGTGGAGTAAATGCACAAACCTATTACTAATGCCGCGTGCACGTCTCGTCACCCTGTGGCTGGCATTCAATTTGGCGTTGATCGCGCAGGACCCAAGCGCCTCAGTCGATGCAGCGTAAGTACATTTATACATAAATTTACTTACACTTATAATGTGGTTATTATTTTTATGGGTTATACTCATTTATGTTCATGCAGGCATAACATACATATGCATACATACACATTTATAATAGTGCATACATGTATATAAATAGTTTAATAAGCATTTATGGGTTAACTGCTTAGCATTTATGCCACAGTGGATGATGACATTTTTAACAATGACATTACATCATAACGCAATCTAAGAGGGGTTTAATAATAAGTTAATTAAAATTAAATATTTAATTCAAAATACATTTTTCGCTCAAAAAATAAAGCAACTTGGTTTAAATTAACTAAATTGCTTTCAAATTTTCTATATGTATGCAAGTATTTTCACATTTATATTACTATGGCTGCAGTTATGCGGGCTTACAGCACTAAACAGTGTATGTGAGGTGTGTAACAATGAATATTTTTTGTTGTAGTATGGACCATAGATAGCCACTTTAGGATTAAAATGTCGTATAGTTCATGTTGATAAGTTCAATAGGTCCTTAATAACAGTTTCACCCAGGTGAAAAAACGTGGTTTCGAGAAAAAGGCGACTAAAGTTTTTGTTAGAGAGGATTTACCACTTGGCGCGTTTCGCTCTCCCCTCTTCTGTACTTAGTTCTAGGTCTTGCGGATCTTCGGCACTAAATCTATTTTATTTCTAAAAAGTCTCCGAACGGCTGATGGTTCCTTATGAGGAACTTTTGATTTTCATGTCAGCAATACATTCAGAGGGTTTGATATTGCCTATATCTTATAACTTTTGGATATTGGCAGCACCGCGATTTGAACCCGAGCCCTCCGAATGGTAGTACGCAATGCTTACTACTCTGCTACCGCGGCTCATTTGTTTAGTAACACGGCCATAAGCCGTTTTTCCATAAATCCAGTGGTTTATTGCATTGCTTCACATAATCAGGGCTATACTTGTAGATAGTACTTCTCATTGGTAGTTTGATGGTTCGGGGATAGAAAAGAACAGAGTTTTTCATTTTGATATGCTTAGTGCACAATAACTAGTAAAAATGCCATATAAAGGACCAATCTATAAGCCAGAGCTTTATCTAAGGACTCTTTCAGGCATCGTTTATCACATCGTCCTACTTCGCGCAATCTGTGATATGTAAAAAAAATGTCGCCTTGATACGAGTTACGGTGACACGTTCGTTCACCTAAATGAATGAATCGGCCTCAGAATCTCTCTTCCAGCACAAATCCTTTACGGTAGTTGAATGCTCCATAAAGACTTACTCATCTCTGTCCTCGTACCGCCCATGGGCATCAGCACCTTTCTAATTATGAGAACGGACATTGTAGGTTCATGACCTTAATTATTGCTTAATAGGTTTGTAATGGTTGTTATCAAAAAGGATATATTGCATCAGACGCCTCATAGCATTTTGGATTTTAGCTGGCTTCAAATTCAGCGTGAAACCTCACATACTTCAAGACGGGTGTAAGCTCGCAGTACCAGCTCTGGTAAACAGACGCTTTAATTAGACTTCAGTTCTTCAATCGAATATATCGGAGTAGTTCCGCTGAAGCTTCCTCTCTCTTACCCGTGACCCAAGGCTACACAGGGGTTGGTTACACCATCTCCAACAAGACCTATTCACGTATTTACTTATTCGTTTTTTCTCTATTTATTTGCTTTCATATTTATTTACTTATTTATTTATTTATTTATTTATTTATTTATTTTTTTATTTATTTATTTATTTATTTATTTATTTATTTATTTATTTATTTATTTATTTATTTATTTATTTATTTATTTATTTATTTATTTATTTATTTACGTATATGTTTCTTTGTTAACATTTTTAAGAAGCACTTTTTATTCAATAAAAATATTAATAAACAGAATTTAATGTAGTTTAGCAACAAACGATTCATTTAAAAAATATTGCATCCTCTTGTTCCTGTAGCCGATCTCCAGAAGGGCCTCGAAAAAAGATATCTGGCGGTGAGAAGGATATTTCTGCTGCAAATTATCTGAAATACGAAAACCTAAAGCTTTAGTATTATAATAGCTGCATGCGGGAAATGATAGAAGGAATAGTGAAAATTTTTACTATTGACAGAAAGTCGGCTGAAAAAAATAATTTTTTGTGAGAAATTTTACACTTCAAAGTGACTTAAAAAATCAAAATTATGGCCAACAATATTATTCCTTTGCTCTGTACCTAACAAATATGCCTTATAAGGTCGTGTGAAAATTTTAAGTCGATCGGCTTAGCCGTTTCAGAGAACCGTTTCTGTAAAATATTCCTCACCACCTCTGATAACAGCGTTTTGAGAAAAATACATTTAAATTTTTCGAACCATTTACACTAAATTAAACTACTCCGCCTTGCCTTTCGCCTGTTTTCGAACGCCACGAGACGACTTTAGTGATACGATCATATCTCCGAGACTGTTTGTCGGATCAACTTGAAGTTTTCGGAAAATATTCTCAAATTAATATGCACTTGAAAAATTAATAAAACGAATAGATTTTTTGAAATTACAAGTAAATATAACCCCACAACTCCTGTAATTGATTTTTGTTTTAAGCTTTCTGAGCATTATTTAATACTTTGAAATCAAAAATTATCTCGAAAGGTCTTAATTACACTTTGATATGCCAAAAAGTATTAGTTCATAAATATTTATAATAAAAAACCCGCACGATTTATCGTAAAAGTTCTACCGTGGGTCTGTTAAAAACAACTTAAGTGCTTTTATTTCGGTTTGTTCCAATTATATTCAACTTAATATTAAAAATATAGAAATATTTTGGTGACGAATAACAAATCCGTAATTTTTTCAAAAGTGAAAACCGACAACCACCACATTTAGTTAGTTTAATTATAACACTTATTTTCATGTTTATTATTTTGTCATTTAATTGCTGACACAAACATATGTTAATGTGCCATAACTAACGCCCTTTTTTCGTCCATTGTATTGAATAAAAAGAGTGTTTCTGTTAACTCGATATAAAATTTAAGCCTGTCACATGCCCATTCCTCACTGCCCACGTCAATGTCGCCTTCAGCGTAATTATTATTATTTATAACACAAATCACTATAAGTACTCATATATACATATATAGCTGAGCTTTCATTTCATACTTGCTTGACGTCTAACTGTTTCATTGCGGTTGCCTGTCACATTAGCAACTACCAATTAGCCTTACAACTTTATAAGGTCTTACCAAGAGGTGTGAAATTAATACAAAAAGAAAAGACTTTCTATTTAATCAACAACCAAATTATTATTTTTTCAATTCATTCCAAAAGACTACATATACCTACGTATGTATAATAATTTCGAGCACTGTGCCTATTTGTGACATACATATATTTATGACACATTAACAGTAGAAAAACTCGTATTTTAATATTATTTTGAGTTTGCAGCTTGCGAAGCATTCGCGTAAGCTTGACTGTGGTCCAAGAAATTTCGACTTGAAAAGTGGCCATTGAATCTTCACCAGATTAATTAACCAGAATTACCAGATAACTAAGCCGGCTTTTGTGATTACCATAAAGTTCTCGGCTGAAAGGATATCAGGACTTTTATTCAGTTCGACCAATGAGTTTTCGGTTGAAGAAGCATTAAGCCGTTGCAGAAGGATTTAGGTATCCAGACTGGAAAAAATCTTAAGAGTAATAGAAAAAAATTTCAGAAAGCAAGGAGAGCTTTAAAGACGAACAATGTGCGGCAAAAATGGTGCTTCAAAATCGTCTACTGACAAAAAAGAGCATGATGGGCATTTTTAATTTGGTTAAATAAAAATACTACTTTTTTTGACACTACGATAATGCACCGACTCACATTAATAATATTTTATTTATTAGCTTTACGCCAAAGTTTCAACTCATGTTGTCTCATAACCACAGTTCTTGCCTAATCTTGCTGCGTGTGACTTATGGCTACTCAAAAATACCAAAAGCATTGCTTTGAATAAAACTGAATATATCTCTGTATCTCGTAATAACATTCAAGAAATTTACAGAACTGAGTATGAACAATAGGTGAGGTAAATAGGAGAGCGGCCAACACTTCGTAAAGTAAATTGTAGCGGCCGAGGTAAGTGAGTGATTAGCATGGCTTATAGCGATCCAGAAAGCCATGTTTACCTTCTGGTATCACCAACATCCAAAAGTTATAGAAAATAAATTTAAATAAAAAATTAAGTTAAATTTTCTAATTGCGGTCGCCCGTCGGCAGGGAATGCCAAGCCCTCCGAGTTTATTACTGACATGAAATAAAGGCTCCTCATAAAAAAACCATCCATCAGCCGTTTGGAGGCTGCTTAGTATAAACAATAAGTTTCTCCATTTGAAAGAAAAGCATCAAGACGAAAAACCACAAATTAGAGGAGGAGCTCGGCTGAGAATCGTTTCAGAAATTAAAAAGCGCCAAGAATTCAATTATTCTCTACAATTACGAAATTATACCGGAATTTGAGAGCCTTTATTAATTTATTATTTAGGAAACAAACATTTTTCACTAGGAGACTTTTGGCTATATTATCTTTAGCATTTGCTTACATTCTATGGCACTTTTGAAGAGTAGTTAGGAATTTTTTATATAGAAAAATTACAGCTTTAAAGCTGTCACAGCAGATCTCCAAGGACTCCTCCTAAAAAAGAGCTTTGCGATGACTTTTTTATTTTCGAAGTGCATCATCTGAAATGTTAAAATCAAACGGATTTCGTTAAAGTAATGTATAATCTTTTGATTACTTTGAGGAATAAGCCAAAAAAAAATTGTTTGACAAAAGGAAAAATTTAATTTTTTTCCACAACTTAGGTTTTGAATTGTGTATTAAAAAACTTTTCGGTGATGGAAAAGCTTCAGCTGAGTATTAGAAAATATTGTTTAGAAGCATATATAGCTGCGTGAAATCTTGGTTGGGAAAAACGAGTTTAAAGTTGCGCCACACCGGATTACCGCTTTGAAATTATCTGACACGTCGTTACAGA